GCCAATAAGCACTGAAAATGAGGATGTGAACTTTTAAAAATTATATGTAACTTTAATCAATTTAAAGTTAAAATAAATCATCCAGATGTGACTGATGATAATCATATTAGATATTATAACGTTAGAGACCTTATTTTAGTCCAGATCAATGTTGACCATTGGGGATTCTGGATGGCTAATGGGTGGGCGAGGGGATTTTGGTTGTCCTTGCAAATGCTCTATTTAAGAGAGCCACTTCAGAGGCCAAGGCAAGCCAATCTCTCCCTGACTAACCTAGCTTGCTTGATTACCAGCGATGCATATAACTTGACAGATAATAATATTTCAGGAAAATGTTAACATGACATGAGATATCTTGACACCTTTTCCTTCTTTCTTCTCTTGAACTTTTTCTGCCCCCAGGTTTCAAAAGAAGAATTTTTGAACTATTATGCTGGAGTTAGTGCCTCTATTGACACCGATGCCTATTTCATTTTAATGATGAAAAAATCCTGGAAATTATGACTTTGTCTAGTAATTCTTTCATGAATCAGAGATTCTCCAAGAGTGGGACTACTTTGAAAGAAGTTCACTATTACTGATTTTGATAATGTGCAAATGAAAGTTTCTGAACACCTGGATTTTAGAAAGCACTAGGTCTTCAATAATCTTTCCTAATGATCTGGAACATGTTTATTTCCTGAGGATATATTTTTAGATCAGAAAAAAAGGAGAAAAGTAATGAAGAATGAAGAAATATAGGAAAGAATAGAGGAGGAAAAGACAGAATAAGGGAGGATGAATATACAACAGGAAAAAAGAGTGATATTTGAAATGATTTCCTAGGTAAAATTATGTCCTTATTATAGGTGTTCCTCATATAGGTGCAAAGGTCACGTTTTCCCACACTTTGACTTCTGCAGCAGGAGGTGATACTGAGGATTGAAGGAATGTCTGTGTGAAATTTCCTGAGCTTTCTTATTTTCATGCTTCTCTCATCTAATTCTGTACAAATAAAATGAACATTTATTTGATTCCGAAACATTGTTGATTTGTGTGTGTGTATGTGTGCTATGTTCAGATTTTCATTTTGGCCTTAACATTCATACATGTATATGAACAGAGGACAAAGTTCCTCTGCTGTGAAAATGTAGTGAGCTGAGTGGCCCACTTGGCTGTAGATTCCACTCCCATGGAAAGGCTTACTTAGCATGTGACTGTGTTAAGATAAATGAGCATGCACAGGCAAAAAGAATTGCTTAAAGTTTAACAAGTGGCCATCTAGCAGGGAAGCAACAAAGCCCACATGGAAGAAGCACACTATCCTGTGCGATCATGAGATGTTGACGGGAATAAGTATCAGAAGTTCAAAAAGAAGCAATCAAATGGACATGAAGGAACATAGACAAAGCGGAGACCCCAAAGCCACCTGTAAGATAATTGGACAGTCCCTCACAGAAGGGCCACAAGGAAGGCATGATATATACAGGATGTAGTATAGTGCTGATGAAACAGATAACTATCCTTTAGTTCTTTAATATTTCTTCCCCTTACTATTATGGTCTTAAATTTACCTCATTAATCTTGTTAGACCTGACTATGTTCATTTGTATAATTAAGATCATTTGATGCTTGAAATCCAAGATAGATAAACCCTTCAGAAATAGTAATGGGAGTAATTATTCCCTGAGGGGATGGGATGAGATGGATGGAGGGAGGGATGGGGAGAGGAGGAGAAGGGGGAACTGATAGCAAAGATGACTGTATAACACCACTCACAGGGAATGAATAACAGAATTGTAGGTGAATGGATACATTGGATGTGTCAGATATGTCAAATATATATTCATATATAATAATCATAAAGGTTCCGGGGGTTAGGGTGGGAGAGGGTGGGGATAAAGGGGAGCTGATATCAAATAGTTCAAGAAGAAAGAAAATGTTTTAAAACTGAC